AGTGTCTGCTTACAACTGTTCCTCTTCCTTTGTATTTCCATACTTGAAAACTCAACCTCCTTTGCCGTTTCTGTTATCTAAATGTTATCTAAATTTTACTTAGATGAGAAAAAATATGATTTTGGAGACCAAGAAAGAAGAATTCAAAGACTAGATCATATTAAGACTTTATGCTAAGGAGAGAAGGATAAGGAAATAGCTAAGCTCCTTGCTTAAATTCTTACAGCAGCTATGAGAAAAAAGATGTGTTAGCCATCATTTCATAGTTAATTCTTCAGTTTACGGTTGGAGAAACTGAAGGTCAGTGACCTGTGCAAGAGTAATCTAGTCCTCTTTCCCCTACCTTTCATAAACATGTAATTCCTGAAAAACCCTTCATTTCCATCCATTTAAAACCAGCTCATAACAGACCTTCCAGAGGGTTTTTAGAGGCTATAAAATAGCAGGGGAGGAGATCCATTTGTATCTCACAGAACTGCTGGTGGATTGGAACCAGCTGGTGGAATCAACCTAGGAGTACATATGCTAGTGATGTATAAAAACAAATGAAAGTATCACTACTTAATGTTTTTGAAAATAAATACTTTTAAAATGTGAAAATTTTCTCTTTCATCTAATACAGGTTTCTAAAATATTAGAAGAATTTGACGTTGAAGAACAGCCCAGTACTGTGTTAGAAAACCGCTTTCCCAACATTAAGGTTATTGAATCTAGAGTAAAGCAACTGAAGAGTGAAAAACACGTAAGAATTTTTTTCCTTAATGATTTTTTCCCCGATTATTAAATCTTGATGTGTTTTTACTTGCCTTTCTCTAACCACCACTACCATTTCCATCTGAGTTCATGATGCAAAAGTCTTAATAACATGGATTTCCATTATTAGGAAAATGTTATACTTTATAGTGAGTTTATGGAGATTACAGTTTGGTGCAGTATTTTAGGTTTTACACTTTAAGTTAACATTTATGTTGCTATAGTGCTCACTCTTGGACACTTGGCAGTAAGTTCTGGGATATGATAGAAATAAAACAAAGCACATTCCAGAGAACTAGACATATTAGAAGGAACAGACAGGCATATATATATATATATATATATATATAAAATGAGAGACATGAAATAGTCACTGAAACTCTGATAATAAAAATTTTATCTGAATTTCGAAGATGAGTGAATTGACACTTTTCTAGGTAACAGAGGACATTATAGAAAGAGGAGATTGCATGTTCCAAGATCTAAGTAAAGGGGTGTTGTTGTTGTTATGTGCCTTCGAATCACTTGCGACTCATAGGGACCCTATGTACAACAGCCCTAAACTCTGCTCTGTCCTGTGCCAATCTCACTGTCTTTGACTCTCCCATCCTGATTACCCCAATCACTGAATCAGTCCACCTCATAGAGGGCCTTACCCCTCTGTGCTGTCCCTCCACCCTACAGAGCATGATGTCCCTCTCCAAGGACAAGTCCCTGCTTACAACATGTCCAAAATATGTTAGATGGAGCCTCAGAATCCTTGCCTCCAAGGAGCTGCCTGATTTAACCCTTTCCAGGATGAATCTGTTTGTTTTCCTAGCAGTCTATGGTACTTCAATACTCTTCTCCAGCACCACAGCTTAAAGGCATCAATTCTCCTTTTATCCTCCCTAGTTATTGTCCAACTCTCTGATGCATAACAAGTGATTTCAAAGACCATGGCCTGTATCAGACACACCTTAGTCTCCAGAAGTGAAGGGTAGGTATACGATAGTCAGGATGCCAAAGGGATTGAGATGTGAATAAGTAAAGGATATTGGCAGAGCAGTCTAGACAAGTAAGTGAAATTGTGCAGAACTTTTTCTGTCATCTAAGAATTTGAAATTATACTCAAGCAGTTGAAAAATTTAAGAGGAGGTGTAGGATAGGTTTTGTTTTAGGGATATGTCTGACAGCAAGTAGAGGGTGAACTAGGGTGAAGAGAATTTCTGTTAACCAGCAATCAAATTAGACATCCGTTGTAGTAGTCCAGGAGTGATGACAAGAGATGAACTAAGACAAAGCAAGTGTAGTTGGAAAGAACTGCCCACATGTAAGGGAGATTTCTGCTATAAATTCAGCCTACTCTAACTCGTTGACATAAGAATTAATTACGTTGTTGCCAGATGCCACCTTCATGAATTCTTTAGATGCATTTTAAACAAAACAAAGATTTGCAGCTCTAAAAGAGTTTTAATTTATTAATTCTACCTTGGAAATAAATGCTCATTAAAAGAAATAATTTGGAAAGAAAAGCTGAGAAAAGTTCTGAGGGCTTTTTTGGAGGGAAAAGAAAAAAGAAATCTGAATTAAAAATCTAGATTAGCATGCAATATTATTCAAAATGGTTGACTCTGGAGAACATTATGCTGAGTGAAATATCCCAGTCACAAAAGGACAAATATTACATGATGCCACTGTTGTAGAGAGACTGAGTAAGATGGGTTCAATAATGTATACTGCACTGAAACAGAGGAGGGAGAAAACGGTTTAAAAGAGATATATAACTAGGTATTTCTGTCGTCACAGGAGACTAGAGTGAGGGCTACATGATGGAGGGGACCTGGGGGAGGGTTTGTAAAACAATGAAAGAATCTTTTCTTTTACTTTTCCATAATTTTTGGACTCATGTACTTATAACTTGTTAGTCAAATTTGTGTCTTCTAGGTTGCAACACCCCCATGATACATCTTCAAGGATATGAACATGTACGGCCAAGCACAATCAATAAGAGTGCATCTAAATTCCAAAATCAATCTCCATAATAGTCTATGTGTTTCCTACTGCCAAAGGGGCCCTTTAGAGTAGTGAGAGAAGATCTTCACCCTGAAACCCACAGCGTCCCTTTTCAGCAGGAAGTAGCTAAGAGAATACGCCATCCCCTTTTCCTTATGACTCAGGGTGAAGTCTCTCTCAGGGAGGAGTGATAGGGAATGGCAAAGGACACACTGACAAAGAAGATTAATCAGAACTGGCTTTGACAAGCACTGTGGCACTTGGACAAGAACAAACTGGGAGGAGGGTAGAGAGAATAGTGCAACAATGAATGAATGGAAACCCAAAATCTCTGTAAATGTTTATGAAAATTAATAAAATATAGAAAAAAAAATATTAGCTTGCTAATGCTTACTATTAATATTAGACCATGTAACATCCACAGCAGTTAATTTTGCAAATTGATGTGGGGTCTGAAAAATATCATAATAATATTTTAATATATTATTGTTGGGTGCTGCCAATTTAACTCCAACTCATAGCAACCCTGTATACAACAGAACAAAACACTGCCATTTTCACAAATACTCATGTACCTGAGCTCATTAATGAATTAGAATAGAATTTGCTTATATTAGAGCACTTCAATCAGTGCTCATTACCCTTTGAAAAATGTCCCACATGAAATATATGTCTGCTGTTCATAATTACTTCCAAAAATTGAGCAGTACCAATGAATATAGTAAGGAATCCTGGTAACTCCATGTAGTAAATTCTTACAGTAACTTCCCACGAGCTCTGAGATGTCCATTAAGATAGGAAATATCAGAATGGTCAATTTTAAAATTTCAAAAAAGTTTTTGTTTCTAAACTCAAGTCAATATACCTCTCCAAACATCATAAAATTTCCTGAGATGTTATGGCAGATGTTCTATGACTATACTTTCCCCTCCTCACCTTCCCCTCTGCTGCCGCCAGCCAGAGGAGAAGGTCTAGTTTGCATCACACTCCCAAAATGGTTCATAACCCTGAAATAATTAAGAATCATTGGATTACAGCCTGATTGGCTTTGGAATTGCCGTAACAAATACTAAGAGGCAGCTTTAATTTTTTTGCTTTTTTGTCTTACTGAATTTCTGATTTTAAATGAGATGATAACCATGAATTCCCCTTTTTTTGCTGTATATTTTTACAGTGCATTTTAACAGAAGATGGCAACCAGCATGCATATAAGAAGCTCTGCCTTTGTGCTGGTGCTAAACCAAAATTGATATGTGAAGGAAATCCTTATGTATTGGGAATCCGTGATACAGACAGTGCTCAGGTAACATATTCAGGAGTTAGAAATTATAGGAAGAGAACATGAAGATTAAAGTGGTACAGTGGATTCCTTAGACTTTGCTAGCTTAGAATAAAATTGTTCTACTTATGTTAATTGCTATACTATTGAAGAAGAAAAGTTTTTGTTTCATAGCCCATAAACCAGAAGCTATTCTCCAGTTTTTATGTTTTATTATTACCAATTTTGGTTTGCCTTTAGCTGATAACTTACCCTTGTACTTTAGTTATGTTGATGTTCTTTGTTCTCTTGATCATGAGACATCCTAGATATAGAATAATGATGACTACTTTAAATGTTACATCCACATTAAAAACTAGACCCACTGCTTTTGAGTCAATTCTCACTCTAAATGACCCTTCATCAGGTTTCCAAGGTTGTAAATCCTTATAAGAGGATACTGCCCAACTTTGAAACCCTTGGAGCAGCTTGTGGATTCCAGCAGTCAACCTTTTACTTAGCAGCCTAAAAAGGTCCACACTATGCCTGCCATACACAAATTTATTACTCTATGTTGATTGGGAATACATTATTTACAATAATGTAATGATCTTTTTCAGGAAAGCAAAAAAACATATCCAAAGCTTATTTCTTTTTCTCAGCTAAGAAATTAATATTCAGAAGATGCACTGTCTTTGTGGTATGGAGTTTTGATCAAATAATAATAGATAGACCTTCCCAAACAGATGAAATTTCTGTGTCTGCAAGTTTATACAATTCCTTGTGCCAAGTTACTTCAGAATATTTTAACCCTTACTATTAATAGACTTTTTGGCTTCCAATTGTAGTACTTTGTCTCCCCTCAGGATTTTTGTTGCTTTTGTTTCGATTGATAAGATGATGATTTTACTTTCATAAAGTAGCATCGTATATTCTTGAAAATTGATCTTTTCCTTCAGCCTATTTTTCTCCAAATAATTAAGAATATTAAGAAAACTAAAAAAAAACCCCAACTTTATTATTTTGTAAGCATTTTAGGTTCTTTTTTTTTTAATATTCATCAAAGATTGAGCTCATTACGTGATTGAGCTCATGGAACATATTCCCATGAGGTCATCAAGATGGATGAACTCATTAAATCATCACAGTCATACTGTATGACAGTTATTTATTCCCACTTTACCAATAGGAAACAGATTAAATCATTTCCTTGTACTGAAGAGGTAGCAAGTAAGTTCGCATGTAATTTAAATTGGTATCTTTCATCTCCAAGTCCAGTGTTCATTACAGATTTCCTTACTCACTCCTTTCAATAAAAGTAAACTAAAATAAATTTTTCTTTTTCTTTCTCTTAGAATTTTAAAGAAATAGTCAATTTCAGTGAATTATTGACTATTACAAAAAGGTTTAGGGTTAACGTAGTAGAAATGGTAATTTAGCATAGTGGAAATGGAGCTGTTGACATGAGGCAATGGAATTTTCTTTATTCTTGAAGGAGAAAAAGTTACCACAGGCTTCTCCAAGCTCATCATGATTGTTTTATTTTATTAAGATGTATCATGCAAGAAAAATTCGGAGAAACGTTGGACTGAGGGCAAAGTGAGATAAAACACAAAGGAAAACATTTATGGTCATTGGGAGGGTATATCCTAGCAAAGCAGAAAAGTGAGATTTATTCTGTTGTTACTCCATTGAAAGTATTTTTTCTAATATTATCTGGGAAGCTTAAGATATTGTTCACTATTACAAAATACTGTCTTTATATACTTTCTAATACAGGAATTTCAGAAACAGCTCACTAAAGCAAAAAGAATAATGATCATAGGGAATGGTGGTATTGCACTTGAGTTAGTGTAAGTATATATTTTTAAAAATTATTTACAAATTGTTCTGATT